CAATGCACCAGTTCTACGTCTCCATTCAAAGCAGTAGGTCATAAATAAAATCTCTCTCTTGAAGGTTCCCACTATCCTCAGACAAGCCAAACACCTTCTTGAACCTTCTGAGATTTCTCCTTTCTATTACAACCTACACACTTGACGGGCCTCCTACTGTTTCTTCTGTTCATATCCACCAAGACACGAGCAAGTCATACATGCAGTAGGCTTGCACAGATGTAGGACTAGTTTTTCCACTAAGGTCTGTCAAGACTGAATAAAGTACACAGACACACACAAGCAGCGCCATAGTCCCTCTGCTGTGATGTGGGCTGGGTTCTTGTGATATCAAAGTGATGCAACACGATCCAGCCAAGTGTCTCCTAGGCAGACCGGCAGCACATAGCCCACCACCCTGCGGAGAGTACTCGCACCTGCCGTCCCCAGATATGGCGCTCAGAAAAAGACCCCCCGGATGTTACTCAAAACCCAGACTACGCCCAGACCCACACAGTAATCAGAGACTTATGTTTCACAGGATTAGAGCTGTAAAATAAAATTCCTCCACAGCCGTCAAATTATAGATGCTTTTGGAAGACTGTAAAAAAAGACAAAGTGATTTTATTTTATTTTGAGACTATACATACACGTTGTTTCTGTATTTATTTAGGCTGATGTAGACATTGAGGGCATACATATTTGACAGTTTTGATCTGAGACAAACTTCACAAATAGAAAATCACTATCTGGGAGATTTCTGGCCACAGGCTACACACTATTCCACACCCCTTCAAATATCAAAGAATCATGAGATTGTGTGGCAAGGCTGGTGAAATTGCATCATTCAACTACAAAACCGACCTTTTACCCTCATCATGCCAACTCATTCTGACAAAAATCAATCCGTTTGCTTCACTACGGACTTATTTCTCTCTGATCCACCTCACCACTTCCTTGTTTGCATTCCACCACTCCGCATTATCATGTGGAAGGTACACATTGTTACTGGGTCCAGAGGTGTTTTAATGCTCTGGATTACTTTGCTGTGGTGACCATTGCAACTTCTGAAAATCATGTGTGGTGATATAAACTGTGAAACATGGGTAGGCGTTAATATATCTGTGGGTTCATTTCCCTGTTACTTAGCATCACCGATTGTTGTTAAGTCACAGGGGAATTTTAACATTAAAGGAAATGTTACGTTTCAGCGCTACCAGGTAACTCAAAGTCACTCCTGATAAGGCCGCTTTCTATTAGGCTACAGAAAGTTGTTAGCTAAAGCTCAACTGTTGAAAGGTGAATAGATAGTGTTTCAGATCTTCCAGTTAAGACCATGACTAAAGCGGTTGTGATAGCGCAACGTGCCAGTGTCTGGTTCATGCATGACTTGAAAATGGCCATGACAAATGACCTGCAATCAAAATACCATTAATACGTGTGAAATGACTTAGCTGTAGCCAAAATTGCTAGACTGCCTGAACAAAAACAATCCGTAAATATTCTCTTTGTCTGCCTGGACCTTTTTATTGCTGCAGTCCCTCTTAATACATGGACAATCTCATGCTGCCTTGAATCTACACTGAACAAAATTATAAACGCAACACTTTTGTTTTTGCCCCCATTCATCATGAGCTGAACTCAAAGATCTAAGACTTTCTCTATGTACACAAGACCCATTTCTCTCAAATATTGTTCACAAATCTGTCAAAAGACAGGATTCTCTATATTTTTTACCCAAAAGCCAGTGGTATCATTGCCTCCATGTATCACCACTCATATCATCTTTACCACAAGCGTTAAGAATCTCTGAAATGCATGTCATAAAAAACTCGATATCCTGACCACGGCTGTAACATTACAAATATGTCCATCCTCTCATCTTACTCATCCTCTCATATTCTCGGATGAGGATGACAAGCAGGGGCTTTCAGCTGAGTGCTCCTTTTTAGTGAGCTCTCTTTTAAGGCCACTTTAAAGTGTGCTGTCAAGTAAAACATTGTGTTTTAGGCCTGAAAGCCTTGAACATAACTTTGATTCAAAGTTGCACAAAGGCCATGAATTTGAGCCTTTTTTGTAGCCAATATGAATAAATGCATAGTTAAGTAATAAGTTTTCAAAATGGCTGTGTACTGTTTCTTGATTTTCTTCATGCAATGGCTGTTATTGGGTAAGCAGTATCTGCATCACCCCTGCAGCAAAGACCAGGCAAGTCTTTTCACTTAAAGGATAACTGGTATTTTTCAACCTAGAACTTATTGTCCCATGTTTTTGTGTCTACGTGACAAACTGGGTTAACATTTTTGGAAACTGGTCCAGAAATGAGCAAGTGCGCTGCAGTTGGCAGCAGTGAGACAGGGCTCCAACGTAATCCTTGTGAGCAAGTGCGCCCCGTCAAAGCACGTCCACTGAAGAGCTTGTTTTTGCCACCAACTGAGATTGTTATCATAAGTGTCTGACAACATCATGGAAAGGATCACTACAGAGATAGACCCTTTTTTTTGCTCTCATCACAGCCACCAGACTCCATTGATAAATACAGATGTTTTACCTTGCAGTTGCTGGTCTCGACGCTTAGTTTATTTGTGTTTTTGTGTGACTTATTTGTTTCAAGGATTCAAAACACCAAAGTCAATAACACAAACAAACTGATCAAGGCAGCAGTAGAGAAGAGAAGTAAAATAATTTTTTGTGGTGGTTTTGATGCTCAATACTGGACCAATTTCAAAAAATGTCATCCCAATTAGTCACGAGACACAAAAACATCGGAAAATAAGGTCCAGATTGATAACTACAGATGTTACCCTTTAATGTCAGTTAACCTGTGAAAATCCACTTTGTTTTGCTTTGTTCCTACGCTCTTGGTCACATGACAGTGTCCTTCTTCCATAACTGATAGACAGCCACTTATTTGGTGTAAGGGGCATCAATCATGTTATGAAATCCTGCTCTGCCTGTCACCAGAGCCCAGAGAAGAAGCCTGGAAATCCTCAGTAATGAGTGGCGGCCAAAAACAACCAGGGCTTACTGCTGAGAAGAAACACTGCCCTTATAAAGACAAAGTGTGAAAACAGGGCAGGGGGAAATGTGCACAACACCTATACAGCACAGCAAAAACAGGCAGCAGATATATGCATAGATGCACATCGCCTTAATGTGGGCTGGGGGCCAGTTTAAACACTGCAGCCCTCAGGAGTCTTAAGCTGGGAACCAGCTCTTTACCGAAGGGCCAAAGCAGGGCTGCAGGGTATAACCGTTTCTCACACCAGCACTTCTCAGCCAGTTAAAAATGACTCCTGCCAACACACACACACACAAACAGAATGTGTCCATGGTCCCAAGTGGTTTCTTTTAAACTTAATAGGTTGCTGATTACCAAGAGAAGCAGAGGGCGCGGCAGGTCAGACTGATCTCAGGTGTCAGCTCTACCCCTCTAGTCACTCAAAGAAACCTGTCCCTTTTCTCTTCAGACCCACATCCACAAATACACACACACACACACACACACAGAATGTAACCATGATCCCAAGTGGTTTCCTTTAAATGTAAGAGGTTGCTGAATACCCAGAGGGCGCGGCAGGTCTGACTGCTCTCAGGTGTCAGTTCTACCTCTCTAGTCACTCACAATACCAGTGTCACTCCGTCCATTCTTCAACTACATCATATAAAGTTACATGATCACTAGCAAAGTTTGACCACAACTTTACGGGTCGGTAAGTGCTTTACGTTTAACATTTCGTAATGCCTCTCAAAGGGCAGGATGGTCACGTGAGCATGTATTTGTATGTGTGCGTATATATTTGTGCATAAAAAATAAAATCCAGATAAAACTACAAATATAAAATATATCTGCCTTTCTTGGCTTAAACTGAAGGTGTAATGTCTGTGAAAAGGATCTGTGTGCGTTTCTGATTAATATGTCACTGTTAAAAATTGTTGACACCAATTTGGCTCATTCCTGCAATTTAATATTAAAAATGATTTGACTTGTACCAGAGCTACAAAGCTTGACCCATTGATTTTCACTGTTACACACAGTTTACTTTGTAAACTCAATATTTACTTTACTATTCATTTTCTATGTACGGCCAATTCACTTACAGAGCTAACTGGCAATTAGTCTTTAATTAATAAGTAATTAATAAAATGAACTCAACCTGCATATATTTGGGACAGGTGTCTATATGAGACAGGACTTTAATTAGTTAAGAGTTGCTCAGCAAAAACAGGACATACCATCAAATAGTTTATTTAAACCAGTATGAATAATACTTAAAACATTAATTAAAAGTCATTTATTTGATCTAGCACTGAGAGACAGCGCATCTAGAGAGAGAGAGACCCGTATCAAAGTAGTGGTAGTCTACCTTAGAAAGGATGGCAGACTGGTGATTTAATTGTCGTTATCCGGGGATACACAGACTGCAGAAACCTCCCAAAGCTCCTTGCTGCATCCACTATAACTATTAGAAATAGCATCACTGCTGTTTGTTATTGTGTTTTTTAAATGACGTACTTATTTCACATATTTGTCAGTTGTGTCTAAACAGAGTGACAGAGAAGAGCACCTCCCTGCAGATCATCACACAAGGCGATGGGCCTTTTAACTTCATTGTTGCAGAAGAATCAATTTAGAGATTAGCCTGGCTGAGGGGGAGGTGGAGGCTACATGCTGCCTCCTATTTGTTTGGAGCATGTGGCCACAAATGACACACTGTACCTTTTAAGAGGTAAAATCATCAAATCATCATTCAGTATTTCACAAGAAAACAAAACTTAGATAAAAGTCTGTAAAAATATACATAATTTTGTGTTTGAAAAACTTTGTTATCCCTTTAATCATCTGATGACCACCTCATATTTACTTTGGGAGCCCTTCAGGAGGTCTGGCCCCCAGGCTGAAAACCACTACTTAAGCCTAAAAGATCCAACATTTTGCATTAGGTACCATTTAGAACCCATGTGCTTTGTCACAGATCCTCATGCCATAATACCCAAAATCATACATTCGCAAAGCTCACCTCCACACTCTCATTGACCTCTATTCCCCCGTCATTGTCGTCATCCAGCTGTTTGTGGATGTGCCGCAGCGCCTCCAGACTGAAGCGGTCGGCTTCGCCAACGCATGGCGGCATCACTATAAGACAGGGGTCTGCAGGGGGACCAAAAAAAAAATCAGGTCAGAGGCAAAGGGTCAAGTGAGGGTTAAGAAGCAGACAGTAAATGTACACAATGATCACACTGATTTACTGTATGTGCGAGGAGCAAACAAAAGAGCAATCAGCATACTTCCTCGTTCCGTATCACTTAGAGTTATAGCAGTAAATATAATTGTTGAGTTATTGTGAGCCAACAGTAGCTTCCAGGTGAAGGCTGCCTCTGCAGCGTTTGTTCCAGCCAACTTAAAATGAGCTCTGGCACAGATGCTAATTCAAAACACCATGACTTCCGAGGAATTGCTGCCATGTGGTTCACTGAAAACTGCATACTTGGCACACAGGAGACGGTACCTGCTGCAAAATGGGGATTACATTCAGAGCAAAACATAATGACACATCTTACTGTAGTAACGTGAGGTTGTGTTTTGCTAAGATAGTTCACGTTTTGTTTTAGTAGTCTATTCGATGACTCAAGAAAATCCCTTTTTCCCCCTTGAGAGTAAGCCGACTTGTTAAAATCTTTTTTTCCTGCGTCCAGAGCTGCAATGTTTGGTCTGTTAATCGATTAGCCTCTCGACAGACCAAACATTTGAGACTGTCCACTGTCTTTTATTATAATAAAATTATACCTTAGGCTGTAAAAAAACGTCATATTTAACAGTTTTCTGGTGTTATACAGATGAAACGATTATAATCAATTAATTGAGAAAATATTGTAGATGAATTTTCATTGGCATCCATGCGATAGACTTTGATTTCAATTATATCCAAATGCCAGGTGTCTTGAGTGGCAGAGTCACTTTGAGCTGCAGCTTTAGCTTTGCATAAACTTCTGATTTTGCATTGTAAAGAGGTGATAATGTTATGAACTACCTGGGATGATACAGTCACTAGCTGTGGTGTAGAAGTTAAAAATATTGATTGTCCCTCGCATAGTATTTGTTTCCCTTGAGATTATCGGCATCAGCCGATACCTGCACTCACAAGGCCGATAAACAATTAATGTCTGCAGGCGCATCTGCAGGCAGCCTGGTCAGTGCAGCTGCTGTGGAACGATGTCAACCGTGCACCTTGTGAGTTTTGGGAAGGTGGTGAAAAATTTAGTTTGGAGCACTAAATGTCCTCAGTCACCATTGTCTTTTTAAAATGTTAACATGTTTCTCCGAAATGACAGCAAATGTAATCTAAAACCAATACTGGCCAGCGTTAAATATATAGTTATACTGTAGAGGATAATGCAATTGAGTGATGTCACCTCTAACAAACTGTACCCCACTCTCCCTTAAACACCAGCCACGTTCTGAAATCTACAGATGAACCCAATGTATTTTTCTATTTCATTAATAAAAATTCCTTCTAAAACAACAACATACTGACTAAGATAGGCATGTATATTAGATTGTATCTGCATGGAATAACAGAATTATATAGGACTTTTCTTTATTTTGATAACAGTATTATATATTTCAGCCATCAGCCACACTGATCTCTAAATAATGGCATCAGCCTTCAAAAATCCATAAAGGTCGACCACTAGTTTGTGCTAACCTGGCTCCACCTGCCTCCAAGGGGGGTGACCACACCTGTTCTCCAGGTCTTTGTTAAAATTCTGGCCACTTCCTTGTGTGATCTGGAATAAGGACAAATTATGAAATGTGTTTACAAGCACTCAGCGTTCCTGCTGGACTCTCTCGTGTGCTGTTGTCATTCCCGCAGCGTCCCCAGGCATCCCCCACTTGTTTTAATTCAGTCCCCCTCCCGTCCCACCAGGGAAATGAGCCCATTACTTCCAGCCCTCCAAGCGACGGACAGTCTGAGCTGGCCAGGAGCCATACTGTCTCAGTGGAGCCACAAAACACACACAGCCGCAGAAACAGTGGCTCGTACACAAAAACACACATATAGGCACAAAACCACATTTTAAGAAGATTTAAGTCACAATGTTAAATCCACCGCTCCATCACCTGGACAAAAAATGACAGAAACAATTTGTTAAACCTTTAAATGTTTGTTTAATGTCAGCCTAAGTAGTGCCATGGCCTTGTCAAGCCGACCAAATAATGACGCTCCCTGTTTGCCAACAGTTTCAGACCAAACACAAAGCCGCACAGCAGCTGAGGGAGACACAGGAAGAACCAAACAGCAAGCAGACAGCAACACACCGGCCAAATGCATGTATCAGGCTTTGCTGCTGGCGATGAGTTGTGTATCAAAGGAGCTATCTGGCCAACAGGAAAAAAAACCCCACCAGAAACCTGCACACAAAAACTATAAACAAGAGACAGAAAATAAATATCTGTAAACGTAGTGCTTTTGGATCCACAAAATGTTACTGCAGAAACTCAGTAAATTATTTTATTTATAACATATTCACATTTTTTTTTTAAAACATGAGTTCAAAAGCTTGACATTTTCAGGAAATATACTGCTTCACTTGACAAGATTGATTCCTCCGCACGGTAAATATGAAGCTGGAGACAGTGGTTAGCAGGGGTTAGCTTAGCTTAGCATAAAGACTAAAAACAGGGGAATGTAAACAAAAAATACCTGTCAAATTAACACATAACATCTCGTTTGTTTAACCAGTACAAAACCAACAAGTTTAAAAACTAAAGTTATGGGTCTTTTTTGTTACCTTTGGACAGAGCCAGGCCAGCTGTTTAAACAGTTTCCAGTCTGCTAAGCTAAGCGCCTGCCTGTTCTAGCTCCATAGTTAACACACAGAAACAAGTGTGACATCAATCTTTTAATCTAACTCTCTGCAACAAAGCGAAGAAACGGATTTCCTAAAACTTCAAACTGCCGACTCTCAAATACTGAACAAACTTGCAAATAAGTCATAGCTATTTTGAATGCATGTTTTAAAAAAAGTATGCATCAGCACGTACAGTATAGCTGTATAGGCGACCATGTGGCATTGTCTGTGGGTTTCTGATGTGGGGTCAGTTTACTGAAACAACAAGACTTGACACGTCAGTTATAGGGTTGCCACTTGGCAATGCAGAGAAGAAGCAAAAGGAGACCTCTGATTGGACATGTGCCCGGGGCTAAGTCTGGATGAGAGGACACTGGGGAGGATGTCCAGGTCAAGTGGAGAAACTGGCACTGGCAAAGGCCTGCAAGTGGACTGAGCCTCACGACGACACAGAGGTTGAATAACACAGAGGTGGTTTGTTTTCGTGTAAACAGACACAGCAGGTTGGCCGGAGCGAGTGAAACCACAGCTAACATGACGGAGGCAGCACTGAACAAAATGATTAGCTTGTGTTTTGACTAAGCCAATTAGAAAATCCCCAGCCACTTCCTGGTATGACAACATAGCGTGTACCAATCAAGGCTCGACCTGCCTGACTGCTACAAAACGGTGCATAAAGCGCACATGCCGTAATTACTCTAAGCACTGTGCAGCACAAAAACAATGAAACATCAACCACAAAACACTGCTTCTGTTTTCAGCTTCCCACTTTAAGATAACCGCACTGGATGAAGATATGGCGTAGAATTATCGACACATTGAGGCTCTTTCAGATCAGCCTTATGTGTAAGTCTGTGTGCAGCCAAAAAGCATCTGATGCTTATAAAATAGGGTTACATAATGCATTTGAATAGCTTGCCAGTGCAGTTTACATAGCCTGTTGTTTGCATAGCATGCATATCTATTTGGCTGTTTGGTTATTTAAACAGGCACAAAACTCAAATGCTTTACTCGTGTTTTACATAAACACACACACACACACACACACACACACACACACACACACACACACACACACACACACACACACGGCTGCACGTCTTGTTGTGACTTCCTGTTCAATTTAATTCTTTGTTTTGCAGAAACATCAGAATTGATAACTTTTACAAACCACCTTCCACGACGGTGATAATTTTTTATTGCCATTTCTTTCAATACTGGCGTCCTAATTCTGTTCCTTTCATGAACCAGCTATTCTTCTGAAACTCAGAGGAAAAGATAATCCTAACATAAAACAAAACAAACAAACAAAAAACGCTGTCATTCGCTGACAGTATTTAGGCTGAGCCACCTTGTGTGCAATTCAGAAATATGAAAGCACAAGCCTTTACTTCCCTGGTGTCCTATTTTTGGGTATGTTTAATACATTTAAGGGACAGCTGTGACAGGAAGTGGCCGTCGGCGACCCCGAGCATTCCAGGGGGACGCACGCCAAATCAAAACAGGCGGGAAAAGCGGTCCCAAAAGATGACAAAATTGGAAAGCGCTGGGTTATTTTTAACCCATCACGCTCCAAGTTGTCAGGATGTAGAAGCCCAACAATGACAGAGGTCTCCCTTGCACAAACACACACACGCAGGCAAGCAGGAAAGCAGTTGTACAGGAATTCACTTTAGCTCACAAATGTGCGCAAGCTGTCACAGAGGGGGGCAGGTTTGGTTCAAAAGAATCTGATAATAAAAGCATTTAGCTGTCAGCTGCTTCCTTTAAAGTGAAGCCCAACACTTCAAAATAGTTTTTTTTCCTCTTCCTGCACAATGCACGCATTTTGATTAATAAGGTTGAGTCTTTACAGTCACAGAAAGCTAGTTAGGTAGTGACAGGACAAGCACACAGTCTGATGTGTTTACGGTGACTTTTTGGGGACTTCCTTAGTTGATCCCAATCCCTTGAGACATGTGGACATCATGTTTATACAACTGAATGTGATAAAGCGGACCTAGCTCGCCAAAAAGCCCACCACATTCTGGGCCACGTTAGGCATCTTCACAAAGTGCCATTAAAAATACATTTTCTCACGCAGGTTTGATGTGCTGATATGAGAGAAGTGGCAGCGTTGGACAAAAATTAGTTTTTCTGCATTCCAATTCTTGTGTGTGCTCCAATCAGTGCTGCGACAGGACTGGATTTTGTATTTATGCTACTGGTCTAAGTGGTTTAAGTATTTTTATCTTAACAGAGACACACTGCAATACATCAAAAGGATGGATTGTCAACAAATCTCATGGAAAGACCAAAACCAACGATTTACTGATCAACAGTATTTTGAGTCATTCCCATATACACTGTCCTGCTTCCGTAAATACTCAGTGAAGTACTGCACCAAATGTGTGTTAACCCACAGCTTTAAATAGTTCCCAACAAATGTAATAACTACAGTACCCAGCTGTCTTTGCTACTCAAAAATAACACTCTATATTTGTGACCCGTTTTGAAAGATTCACATGTCTTTAGGTACTAATGGGCTTGTGACTGAATGCCACAGGGAGGGTAGGGAAGATATCGTGACAATAAAAATACCAAGACAGAATCACAATATACAAGTGATGTAAGTGAAATGCACTCCCCTCACCTTACTTAAAAACCGGATCTTGGATGAGGAGTCAGTTTCAGTGAAAAAGTATCTGTGCTATGGGAGGGGAGCGGGTGGGTATGGGCCAAGGCGACGTTGAATTAAGACAGCAGGTTATGATGGACCTGAAACACGACTCTGTGCAGCCAAGGGGGGCTGAAATCGCCTCTTATTACCTGCAAACTGCTCCGAGATGCTTCTCCGTGTCCTCCGCTAATTCCTGCTTGCTTCTCACTCCCTCTCTCTCTAAGACACAGACATTTCAAAGGACACACACCTTGTGCACACATACGGCACCTACTCATACACACCCTGAATGGCAGCGCAGGCGGCGGCCTCAACAAGCAGACCAGGATGAGGTGACATGGAAGCAGATTAGAGAACAAGTCAGCGAACACACCACCTGCTAAAACAGATGAGAGAGAGCTCACTTACACACAGAAGAGTGTCTCCTCTTCATATTTCAGCCCCCTGACGGTGAACACCTCTCAGATACTCTGGGGACATGAGCTGCTAGGGTCAGACAGTATTTGTGTCTGCGGCTGAAGCCTAATTAGGTCAGGATTAGCCTCAGAAAACAATAAATTACGGATGAAAATGTTTGTATGAAAAAAACCCAAAAGCCACACTTCTGTGAGTTCCTTTCCCACCATACTACCCATGCGTACACTGCTGCTTTTGCCCAACATCCATGTAAAGCATGTGGCCTCATACATACAACATTAGTAGCATCAAAGCTTCAAGGAACTTGACCTGATCCTGAGCCACATCCACTTTCACACAATGCTCGAATCTGTGCCCTCAGTGCAATGGAAAAAGTACTTTTTCCAACAGTCCCACAACGTGTGGGGCTTTTTTTAACATGGGTCCTTTTTCATTTGTGTCTAAAACCTTAATTTTTGACTCATTAAAGAGAAAAACCTGTGTAGAGGAATAAGTCACAGATTCCAGCCCCACTAAAAGACGTGTGTGGAAATATTAGCTAGAATTAACTTGCAGGAGAAGTTCGGGTTGGTTAATTAAAGGGAGACTCAACTTCACCTTTAAACATTAGACTGACTATAGAATAATAAAAAAAGAAAAATCCTACTTCATTCAAATAAAATTTGATTTTCTAATACTTGCGCAAACTGTCCAACAATATTTTTGGTGTACGTCCTTTATTGTCAGCTTTAAAACACTGTACGTCTCAGCAGTAGTAACCTATTCAGTCAATTAACAATATGAGTCAGCTGGACACAGATAAGAGAATATGATTTGATCTGCTGCTGCTCGGGACTCTTGTCTTGCTCAGGTACAGCATTCAGCATTGCAGACACTGGGGCCTGAACTCTATTGTTTGTATTTTTTTTACCAGTCTCTGACCAAGGGCGTGTCCCTCAGCTCTCCGTACGGCAAAGTGCACCCAGTGGTGAACCTTTCACCAAGCAGCACATTACCACACTGTGTCAGCAGTTCATCAGATCCACAGGCAGGGCGCCGTGCCAAACTCTTATCAGCTTTCACACGTTTATGATGTGTGCACTTACCATATGGATGACGACTGAGATGTTGAGTTTACTCAGATAAATTCCTGCATTTTATTGATTGCTTCGGTAGTCACGGGTTAGTCAACCTCTGCTCCTGGGGACTCTTGTGATCACTTGGAAGTTATGTCTGTGTGTGTTGTGAATTATGCTGAAATCCTAATTGCACTGTTTTAAATACATCAATTAGATGATCCAAATTGTGTTAAAGTTGGAGGGTGTGCGTGTTAGGGGGGTCAGTATGTACCCGACCTGTCCCCTGTAACTGGTGCCCATATGGCGCAGTCATAAGTCAAGCTGACGGGTCAGTATTAAAGGCAAGTAAATAAAGCTTCTGGAGAGTCTACCATTTCAGCTCATCAGCAGCCATTAATAAGACACCAATATCATTAGCTGCCTCCAAATACCACCAGCTAGTGCAGAGGGTCGGAGAGAGAGAGTGAGGCAGAAAGGGAGGGTGGTTTAATAGAAGAGGAAGAAACAAGATACAGAAGGTGTTACTAGCTGCGAAGATGGACGCGTCATGAGCGTACATTTAAAAAAACTGACCTCTCTGAGTGACACAGGAAAGCAGGAGGGGAAAAGGATCTGACAGATGATAGCGAACATCTCTATCCGATTGATTTCCCATCTCGATGCACTTGCAGAAGAAAGCAGTATTTACTTGCCAGGCTTTGGGCTTTTGTTATGTTTGAGCTACTGCTGCGCTGACAGGTGAGCTTTCTAACTCCCCGGGGTGCCCTTGGGCATGGAAGGAGACTGTGGCACTGCAAAATCACCGATGAGCAAACAAAAAAAGCACAGTGTCACACACAAACGCATAAGTACTCTTTTTACTTTTTTTTTGGAGTTGGAGTCAAAAAAATTTTCTTTTTTTTTTTTTTAACGTACACACCCATGATTCTTTTAAGAGCCACCTACACATACACAGAGTCTGACTCCAAGCCCAAACAACTTCTTGCAAAACCACACACACACACTAAGGTACACTGTACGGGCTCCAGACGTTTGACATGTCTCAACTAAACCTGATCCACCTTTGTCACCATTTCCCTGTAAAAACTGTAAGAAGCAAACAGGTTTTACAAACAATACAGGTGGAGCTGGAGCAGCTCAGGCAAAAGCGTCTGGACTTTCAATGAATAAAAGGTCCGACTCATTTAGGGCTCAGCAGGGTCTATGAGTACATTAAAGGCACCCTGTGGAGTTTGGAGCAATGTTTTTACAAGTGGGTCCCCGTTGTGTTGGAGGGAAACACTGAATGTAAACAGCACCTCTGAGGGCACCTTTAAGTTTGCAAAAGTAGAATCTAAAAAATGTTAAAATACTGAATAGATACAAGCCTTCTACTTCCCTTTCTCTGGTTCAGTGTGGGATGGGGAATCATCTTTGACCAGCTGAACCCAGTCATTTCCACTGGTATCACTTACTCATCTAAACCACCTTAATGAGCATCAGTAATCCTCTGCTTAGGCCACATCTTTAAAAAATAGAGGGCAAATGGGGGTGGGGGCCTGGCTCTGATCTAAAAACTTCCACAAAAGGAGACACTCCTCGCGCTCCGGCGTCCCTGGAATGTTTCAATAGCAGCCCTGAACACGAGATGTGTGATATATATGCGTCCCGAGGAAGAAAATAAGGAGAGGAGAATGAAAAGACGTGAAGAGGCCAAGCACTCGTTTACTTATCTCACTTTGCCCCTGACATGCTCTTCTGGATATAAGGTTAATGGACTGTATGTCAGACCAGCCGTCTGCTGGTCTGAGGAAGAGATCACATGCTAGGCTTTAACAATTAACAAAGAACAATGAAAAGCATGATGCGCACTCAACATGCATTAGCCAATTAGTAATGGGATTTAATGTTCTTGCGCAGTTAGTGATTACAAAGGCAAAGTAAATGATTTTAGTCTAAATCCTGCCCACAAGTGTGTAGAAGATGCAGCCTGGATAACCACAAGAGTGATTATGTTTTCCTCGTCTGTGTCGTGGCCTCAGTAAAGAAAAGCTGAGGGTTAAGACTTTCCCACTGGACTTCTGAGAAGCATCTCCTTAAGGGTATGGTACCCCATGGTCCCCGACCTTGTCACGAATTGGATAAACAAATAAAAGAAGGAAACCAAATGTGTATGGACGCAATAAATAATCTTTTGAATCTTGCAGACAACTGAACACCTAATTGGGAAATTCAATCACTTATGAATACTTGAAGATCAATTTCAAATGCCCCCAAATTAATAACACATTAATTAATTAATTAATAACAACATAACAAAAAGCAACTTAAGTTTTAATATATTACCCTCTTTGAACATTTCCAGAAAGCAATTTCACTTCAGGCTTTAAGAAACAAGACACTGCACACTGCTCCTGCAAAAGATTTTAATATTACTAACGTAATCATACATTGCCGGAGCATCGTTTAAGATGTGGGCAAATGGTAGGTATCTGGACTGTCAAAATCCATGGCTTAGACCTCTTGCACGGCCTTGAAAGATTTAAAATGACATTTATGTAAAGGAAAGGAACATTGAGACCAGCCTTTTTTACCACTACCTTTAAACCAACCACTTTTGGCAAAACAAACCGTTGCCTGTGTGCTCGGCGTGCTAGGACACGTGTTTTCACTTTAATTTTGAAAAGTGGCACTAAAAGACACATCTAATGGTTTTGGACGCTTCCGTCGCTGCATTAGAGCAGGAATGTCTCACTGTGACGATTTGTAGCTGACAGCAGACAGCAGGTTTGGCTCTCTGCCAGCTTCCTCTGTATGTCTACCTTCCTGCTTGACAGGATTCGGGTGGGTTTTTCTTTACTTGGTGCACCTAAATATGGTGTAGAAGCTAAAAATAAGCGACACAGTTCTGACAATAGCAAAGCCCAAATGAAGAGGCATATCAAATCTGAACAACGGAAAGAAGCTGAGATACACAAGTGATACAAGACAGAGGATTAATAGTGACAAAATATCAACATGCCACATTTCTTACTGGCTGCATCTTACAACAAAACCTCTGACATGAAACAATCACGTGGAGACAGAAGGCCTTAACCTCTGGCAGACCTTTGCTTCTGGACAGGAATAGAAGAAGAAAACAAATGAAAGTCATTCTGTTGTAATTAGGTGCTTTGATGTGTAATACAAACTGAATCCATTTTGGAAGAGATCAAGGGAAGGCTCCTGAAGTGACTCCTGAGAACCCACCTGTTGGTCCGGACATGCTACCGTAATCAGCACTATGATGGATTAGCAGTCAACAGCCTGACGGTGCCCAACCAAGACATGGGGCGGGAAAAAAACTGTTAATCCGCTCGCTTGAAAGTTGGAGCTCATGTTTCCTTTTACTGATATTCAAGTTTACATCTGCGGGAGATTGTCACAGCTGATTTCTAGCTCGTGTGATCAATATAAATCAAATGTTTAATCAAGCAACCCTGGGAACAGAAAGTTTCTGGGGGCCGACCGGACCTCGCTGATTACTGTACAAAAACAAAAACACATCTTTATTAACTGATTTTGGTAAAACTGGATCATATTTGATGGAGAACAATATTTTTTGGTTCTCCCTCTGATGTCCCCCGGCTGCTCTACCTCAGCTATCTGTGATTTACTGAGTTTGCTGATGAACAGATAGCTTTACTTGTTGCTAAACTAACAGCTAACTGCTACTAGCTGTTGTTCGTTAGCTCAGTTAGCTGTCAGCAGTCCATATGTCATATGGACTGGGAGCTTGGTGCACTGGAGGAGTGTTAGTGTTTAATGTTACACTTCTAGCGTTACTCAAACCATAGAGGTTTTTAGGCCAGGGGGCTATGTACAATCTATGGCCAGGGGCAGGGAACCCAGCAGGCAGTGGTGGCGGGTAGCGGCCCCAGAATGG